GTGTTCATGTGTGTGTGTCATTGGTGTTCATGTGTGTGTCATTGGTGTTCATGTGTGTGTGTCATTGGTGTTCGTGTGTGTGTGTGTGTCATTGGTGTTCATGTGTGTGTGTGTGTGCCATTGGTGTTCATGTGTGTGTGTGTGCGTCATTGGTGTTCATGTGTGTGTGTGCGTCATTGGTGTTCATGTGTGTGTGTGTGTGTCATTGGTGTTCATGTGTGTGTGTCATTGGTGTTCATGTGTGTGTGTGTGTGTCATTGGTATTCATGTGTGTGTGTGTCGTTGGTGTTCATGTGTGTGTGTCATTGGTGTTCACATGTGTGTGTGTGTGTGTGTGTGTGTCGTTGGTGTTCATGTGTGTGTGTGTCGTTGGTGTTCATGTGTGTGTGTGTCGTTGGTGTTCATGTGTGTGTGTGTGTCATTGGTGTTCATGTGTGTGTGTGTGTCATTGGTGTTCATGTGTGTGTGTGTGTGTGTGTGTCATTGGTATTCATGTGTGTGTGTGTGTCGTTGGTGTTCATGTGTGTGTGTCATTGGTGTTCGCATGTGTGTGTGTGTGTGTGTGTGTGTGTGTGTCATTGGTGTTCATGTGTGTGTGTGTGTCGTTGGTGTTCATGTGTGTGTGTGTGTCATTGGTGTTCACATGTGTGTGTGTGTTGTTGGTGTTCATGTGTGTCGTTGGTGTTCATGTGTGTGTCGTTGGTGTTCATGTGTGTGTGTGTGTGTCGTTGGTGTTCATGTGTGTGTGTGTGTCGTTGGTGTTCATGTGTGTGTGTGTGTGTCGTTGGTGTTCATGTGTGTGTGTGTGTCGTTGGTGTTCATGTGTGTGTGTGTGTCGTTGGTGTTCGTGTGTGTGTGTGTCGTTGGTGTTCATGTGTGTGTGTGTCGTTGGTGTTCATGTGTGTGTGTGTGTCGTTGGTGTTCATGTGTGTGTGTGTGTCGTTGGTGTTCATGTGTGTGTGTGTGTCGTTGGTGTTCATGAGTGTTTGTGTGTGTTGTTGGTGTTCATGTGTGTGTGTGTGTGTGTCGTTGGTGTTCATGTGTGTGTGTGTCACTGGTGTTCATGTGTGTGTGTGTGTGTGCCATTGGTGTTCATGTGTGTGTGTGTGCGCCATTGGTGTTCATGTGTGTGTGTGTGCGTCATTGGTGTTCATGTGTGTGTGTGTGCGTCATTGGTGTTCATGTGTGTGTGTGTGCGTCATTGGTGTTCATGTGTGTGTGTGTGCGTCATTGGTGTTCATGTGTGTGTGTGTGTGTCATTGGTGTTCATGTGTGTGTGTCATTGGTGTTCATGTGTGTGTGTGTGTGTCGTTGGTGTTCATGTGTGTGTGTCATTGGTGTTCACATGTGTGTGTGTGTGTGTGTCGTTGGTGTTCATGTGTGTGTGTGTTGTTGGTGTTCATGTGTGTGTGTGTCGTTGGTGTTCATGTGTGTGTGTGTCATTGGTGTTCGTGTGTGTGTGTGTGTGTGTGTCATTGGTATTCATGTGTGTGTGTGTGTCATTGGTGTTTGCATGTGTGTGTGTGTGTGTCATTGGTGTTCATGTGTCATTGGTGTTCACATGTGTGTGTGTGTCGTTGGTGTTCATGTGTGTGTCGTTGGTGTTCATGTGTGTGTCGTTGGTGTTCATGTGTGTGTGTGTGTGTCGTTGGTGTTCATGTGTGTGTGTCGTTGGTGTTCATGTGTGTGTGTGTGTCGTTGGTGTTCATGTGTGTGTGTGTGTGTGTCGTTGGTGTTCATGTGTGTGTGTGTGTCGTTGGTGTTCATGTGTGTGTGTGTGTGTCGTTGGTGTTCATGTGTGTGTGTGTGTCGTTGGTGTTCATGTGTGTGTGTGTGTCGTTGGTGTTCATGTGTGTGTGTGTGTGTCGTTGGTGTTCATGTGTGTGTGTGTGTGTTGTTGGTGTTCATGTGTGTGTGTGTCATTGGTGTTCACATGTGTGTGTGTGTCACTGGTGTTCATGTGTGTGTGTGTGTCGTTGGTGTTCATGTGTGTGTGTGTGTTGTTGGTGTTCATGTGTGTGTTGTTGGTGTTCATGTGTGTGTGTGTGTCGTTGGTGTTCGTGTGTGTGTGTGTCGTTGGTGTTCATGTGTGTGTGTGTGTGTCGTTGGTGTTCATGTGTGTGTGTGTGTGTCGTTGGTGTTCATGTGTGTGTGTGTGTGTCGTTGGTGTTCATGTGTGTGTGTGTGTGTCGTTGGTGTTCATGTGTGTGTGTGTGTGTCGTTGGTGTTCATGTGTGTGTCATTGGTGTTCATGTGTGTGTCATTGGTGTTCATGTGTGTGTGTGTGTGTCATTGGTATTCATGTGTGTGTGTGTGTGTGTGTCGTTGGTGTTCATGTGTGTGTGTGTGTCGTTGGTGTTCATGTGTGTGTGTCATTGGTGTTCACATGTGTGTGTGTGTGTGTGTCATTGGTGTTCATGTGTGTGTGTGTGTGTGCCGTTGGTGTTCATGTGTGTGTGTGTGTGTCATTGGTGTTCATGTGTGTGTGTGTGTGTATCATTGGTGTTCATGTGTGTGTGTGTGTGTATCATTGGTATTCATGTGTGTGTGTGTGTGTCACTGGTGTTCATGTGTGTGTGTGTGTCGTTGGTGTTCATTTGTGTGTTGTTGGTGTTCATTTGTGTGTGTTGTTGGTGTTCATGTGTGTGTGTGTCGTTGGTGTTCATGTGTGTGTGTGTCGTTGGTGTTCATGTGTGTGTGTGTGTGTCGTTGGTGTTCATGTGTGTGTGTGTGTGTCGTTGGTGTTCATGTGTGTGTGTGTTGTTGGTGTTCATGTGTGTGTGTGTGTCGTTGGTGTTCATGTGTGTGTGTCATTGGTGTTCATGTGTGTGTGTGTGTCATTGGTATTCATGTGTGTGTGTGTGTCATTGGTATTCATGTGTGTGTGTGTGTGTGTGTGTGTCGTTGGTGTTCGTGTGTGTGTGTGTGTGTCGTTGGTGTTCATGTGTGTGTGTCATTGGTGTTCACATGTGTGTGTGTGTGTGTGTCATTGGTGTTCATGTGTGTGTGTGTGTGTCATTGGTGTTCATGTGTGTGTGTGTGTGTGTGCCGTTGGTGTTCATGTGTGTGTGTGTGTCATTGGTGTTCATGTGTGTGTGTGTGTGTGTGTGTATCATTGGTATTCATGTGTGTGTGTGTGTGTGTCGTTGGTGTTCATGTGTGTGTGTGTGTGTGTCATTGGTGTTCATGTGTGTGTGTGTCATTGGTGTTCACATGTGTGTGTGTGTGTGTGTCATTGGTGTTCATGTGTGTGTTGTTGGTGTTCATGTGTGTGTGTCATTGGTGTTCATGTGTGTGTGTGTGTGTCGTTGGTGGTCATGTGTGTGTGTGTCATTGGTGTTCACATGTGTGTGTGTGTGTGTGTGTCATTGGTGTTCATGTGTGTGTGTGTGTGTGTGTCATTGGTGTTCATGTGTGTGTGTGTGTGTCATTGGTGTTCATGTGTGTGTGTGTGTGTGTGCCGTTGGTGTTCATGTGTGTGTGTCATTGGTGTTCATGTGTGTGTGTGTGTGTATCATTGGTATTCATGTGTGTGTGTGTGTGTCGTTGGTGTTCATGTGTGTGTGTGTGTGTCATTGGTGTTCATGTGTGTGTGTGTCATTGGTGTTCACATGTGTGTGTGTGTGTGTGTCATTGGTGTTCATGTGTGTGTTGTTGGTGTTCATGTGTGTGTGTCATTGGTGTTCATGTGTGTGTGTGTGTCGTTGGTGGTCATGTGTGTGTGTGTCGTTGGTGTTCATGTGTGTGTGCCGTTGGTGTTCGTGTGTGTGTGTGTGTCGTTGGTGTTCGTGTGTGTGTGTGTCGTTGGTGTTCATGTGTGTGTGTGTGTTGTTGGTGTTCATGTGTGTGTGTGTGTGTCGTTGGTGTTCACATGTGTGTGTGTGTGTGTGTCGTTGGTGTTCACATGTGTGTGTGTGTGTGTCGTTGGTGTTCATGTGTGTGTGTCGTTGGTGTTCATGTGTGTGTGTGTGTCGTTGGTGTTCATGTGTGTGTGTGTGTGTCGTTGGTGTTCATGTGTGTATGTCATTGGTGTTCACGTGTGTGTGTGTGTGTGTCATTGGTGTTCACGTGTGTGTGTGTGTGTGTGTCATTGGCTGGCATGTGTTTTGTCGGAGGGTACTGTAGGGTCTTTTGTGTATTGTATTGTAGTATTTGTCTGAATGGCTGCGAGGGATGGGAGTAGAAAACGCTTTTTTGCTTCGACCAATCCCTCTTCAACCCATGCACAGGTTTTCTAGTTTTCTCCTATGATCCTATTTTTCTGTGAATGATTGTCTGTATATCTTGTGAATGTTTGAATTAAATAAACAAATATCTTGAAGATGGTTTGAAACAGGTTTTAAGTTGCCTATGCTTCCTACCTTCTCACGACGGTCCATTAGAGCGTCGTGAGAAGGTTAGTTTTACTGATGTGTCGTTGCAATAGTAATCCTGCTCTGGTCTGTAAGTCTCCGGATGAGCTCATAGCCAAAACATTAATTGTGTTAAATCATAACGATCCTTCAAACCTGGATGATGTTTTCAGGTCCTTCTTAACCAAAGCAGAGGGGGAAAGGTCGAATGCAATTATTGTAAATAAGGCCCTGTCTGTTACTTGGACAGTGTGACTTGGATTTGGCCTGTGCTGAATGCATTTGCTGTCGGAGGAATTCACCGCTGGGAACTAGAAAAACAACTGAGCTCCATCAGTATCAAAATGTGTTAAAGACACAGGAAGGACAAATAAGGTTCAAATGAAGCTAAGACAATAACCCTGCAGAGTGTGTGCAGTGAAACAGCCTCATGAACGAATCACAAAAGTCTTTGTTCAGGGTTGATAAAATGTTGATGTAGATTATCTGGGTCAGCTTATTTTGGTTTAATGGGAAGTGTTTTGGCCTTAAATCTTTTATGTGTATGTCTGCCAAACTCAACCAGTGCAAAAAGTCCAAGTTATATTGTTGTTTTTCCTTTTTTAAGATAAGATAAGAGAGAGTGTGGGACATTGTGTCATTGTGTACCTGAGGATAGAAGTTTCCGGCAGCAGTCTGAGTGAGCGTTCAGGGCGGCCAAATGCAGAGGAAACATGCCATAGATTCCCCGCCTTGAGAGAACAAATGAGACCGTTTTATTCACAGATAACAGTGGTATTTAGTCTGTGTGTGACCAAGACCTGGTGCAGTCGGCTCCGCTCGTTATCAGCGTGTTGATCAGGAGTTCGTGTCCATAGCGGGCCGCGATGTGAAGAGGTGTGTTACCGTCTTTGTCCACGCAGTCAATCTCCCCACCTAAAATACACACAATCATGACTCCAAAGGTCACATTATAAATTATTTTGGCTCTTTTTGTCTATCCATTCTCACCACTTTGAATGAGGGTCTGTGAGCGGGTGAATCGTCCGTGTACAGCCGTCATATGGAGGGGGCTTTTCCCATCTCGGCTCTAAATTACAGCAAAGACTTTATAAAACTTGCAAATTTATCCGCCTTGAAATAATCAAATCCATGTCAGTATTGTACAGTTTAGAATGGCATGTGACTGCAGACCTCATAAAAATGGCATGCACAAATATGAGTCAGGATGAATTCCATGAATGTGAAGCATTTCCTCTCCGTTTCTTAATATTGGCATTTTCTGTTGTTGTCGTTATCAAACAAGAGAGAAGAAATACGCGCAATGGTAAAGTCAAAAGCATCTGAGTTTTGAATAATACATGTTTTAACAGTTGAGTAGTCCGATTAGGCTAAATAGGTCATGAAATTATTACTATGAAGATTCATATTGTCACACCAGTGGAATTGTGAAAAAAGATCATGTAAATTGACCAATATTACGATAAAAAACACATGGCTGAAGACATTTTACAAAAGACAGCAAATAGAACATATTTATAATCCGTTGTCTATCTATAATTCACCCTCTGAGGTTAGAAGTCACATCAATTCACATTAGTCGAACTAAACTAGACCAACATTTGATATTTTTGTTTGTTTACATCCTTTTTGAGACAGAAATGATCTAGGAGGATAAAAGCTATAGAGTATCCAGCGTTTGCCTTTTCAAGAGGTCCGTATCTAGCTGTGTGCGCCAATGTATCAGTAAACTCCGGGCCGACTCTCACGCCGCACGCGCCACATATGCACGCACACATGCACAGACACACACGCACACACACACACCCTTTCTATACGTAACATCCACACACATCATCTCTCCCCTCTGTTACCGTCTGCTAGTTGCACACTGGTGCAGGTCAGAACTACATTGGAGCCTATATTTATACACACATACACATACACATACACACACATACATGTATTGTACACACGCACATACCGGTCTGTCGTGCTCCTTTGTGTCACGCAGCCCAAAGGATCCTCACAAATACACGGCTCCAGTCAAACCATATGGGACCATGTCTGTGCTGATGGTCCTTGTCATTAGATCAGATCCACACACATCACTTGTATTTAAACTTTAGCAGAGACCTGTGAGACGCGGCTCGTCACTCGCTGCTCTGACCATGTGAACGAGCCGTCTTTTGCTTAAAAAAGCTTTAACCCGCAGCACAGAAGAATGGGAAGATTAAAACAGCAGTTCTCTGTGCGCAAAGGAGCTGAACCTGTTGTGGGTTTTGGCGCCGCTGTCTCGGCTCTGATCCAGTAGAACGCAGAGCTGCTCTTATGATAAGTATGTGGCCGCGAAATGGCTGTTATTTCAAAGAACATGGACTATTTTAAACTACGCGGTTACCCGGTTTCAACCGGTTAATGAGGCTCGATGGTCGGTCATGAAAATTCATAGTTTTTTACATCCCTAGTCAGAATAAAAGCAACACTGCAGAACTTCCCAGGGGACTCAGAATCCCTGGGACAAAGGTTAAACCATGGAGCGCTATTGATATACACATGTAAATGTTTCCATGTACTCAGACAGGACAAATATGAAGTTATTACATGTGAATATATTTCAGCTCAGATGTTGCTCATGAGGCCTTTAAGGAGTCTAATATTTTGGTATAAATAGGTCAACAGTCCTGTAAATGCAGAATACAAGACTTAGATGTAAATGCACCTGAACATTGACATCGGCCCCGTTGTTGACCAGGCACTCCAGACAGATGGCGCCGTGTGTGGACGCAGCAGCGAAGTGCAGCGGTGTGAAGCCTTTGTTGTTGGGCTGGCTCACGTTGCCTCCATAGTCTATGAGCTCAGTGACCACGGCGTCCTGACCGTTAAAACATGCCACGTGGAGCGCCGTGTTCCCAAACGCATTGGCCTCATCGATCTGTGCAGTTACAGTTACTTTAACACCGATAATAAAGAAGGACATGTATATGATGGAGCCGTACTTCTACAGCCAGGTTGAGCAGGTGTTTGACCACAGACAGTTGTCCACTGGAGGCAGCAGCGTGCAGCGGAGTGTAGCCCCTTTTGTCTTTACAGCTAATGTCTGCCCCCTGATTCACCAACAAACACACAACATCCAGATGACCTGCAACAGCAGAAATATGAAACATTATGAATGTTCTCCATCCAAGCTCTTTTCAAACTATATATTTATGTTATTTTAGTGTTTTTAAGTTACATGACATGTAAGTTTGAAATAAAAAATGACATATGTTACTGTGTTTTAGACCTGCCATCTAAGATCCCATTAGCAATGCTTGATCTGTAAGCAACTGTAAATAAATGTCACTATGACGGGCTCACCCATGAAGGCAGCCCAATGCAAGGCTCTGCTGTCTTTCTTATCAAATGCATTGATGTTGGCACCTTTGGAAAGCAACAGCTTTACCATCTGGAAAGAAATACAATCATGGAGATGTTACTGAGAATGTTTTTAGGGTTACAGGTATACAGGACAGGGCAACAATCCCATCAAAGAGACAATGACAGCACTGCCGAAGGATAAATACATGAAAGAAATCCAAACAAGTGCCTCTTTAGTCTTAAATGAGCTTAGGGTTTCAGAGCGTTCCATTTACAAGGAGCATCCTACTGCTTCTCACACCAACACATGCTTTGTTTGAGCGATGCCATATTTGAGTTGTTGGGAAAAAGATGATGTGGGCGATGTTCTTATATAACTGTATTGTAAACGTCGTCATTTGGGATATTTGTAGCAGAAACACTGAGTCAGATGTGAACAAGCTGTTTGTCCAGCTCCAAAAACAAAAAGTGTAGACATTTCACCTTAAAAAGAAAAGGATTTTTATGAAAAATCCACAGTATATGTTATAAAGTCATGAGACTATGGTTTATTGATATAACCATAGTCACAATTCACTGCTACAAATCATTTAAAAACACACTTTTTAGAAGTAATAGATGTGTTGAATCTTATGGATCTTCCCAGGTGTTGAAAAACATCTCTTATTTAAATAATTACGAATCAATCTCAGTTCGAGGTTCAACATTTCCAATAGACACAATACAGTCTTAACTGTAAAGTTTGAACGATTAGACTAACCTATTTCATCTTTAATTAGGGGTTTTGCATTATTATCTGTTATTCTTGGCTATAAGCAAAACACTCAGAGTTAAAAGGTGCACTACCTAATATTTGTGGTAAAACCCTATTCCAAATCCATGCCTGAAGCTGCCAAAACACAACCAACTGAAGATCTCGGAGTTCTAAATGGTCTGCCACTAGAATCTGCAGGAGACCGCCCAACGATTGAAATAGAAGAAACATTCAGGAAAAATGTCCAGAAGCTGCATAGAGAGAGAGTCCTCTGCATTTATTTCTCAAACAACAAAACGGTAAATTCCAAAACACTCTGTGCGTGCAGTACCTCTGTGTGACCATTGAGGGCAGCGTGGTGCAGAGCGGCGCGCCCGCCTCGGTCCGACACGTTAACGCTGCTCAGTAACGGGATGATGATCTCGGCGCAGCGCAGGGCATTCTTGGCCGCCGCCACGTGCAGCGGCGTTTGCCAGTTTTTGTCCCGAGCGTTCACATCCGCAGAGTGCCGGATTAACAGGCCTACCGTCGCCTAGCAACAGCAAAGGTTAGGGCTCAAGTGTGTTCATTTACAAACAAGAAAAAGTGGATTTAACATTGTATTACTTTTTAAATCCTGACTTTTAAAACACTACTCATTTTTATACATGCTTTTCATTCATCAGCTTTTTCAGATAGAAAAGAGAAGAGAGGACCCTCAACCCAAACGGTCACCGGGCTCTTTCTTATCAAAAAGACTTTATTCATTTGTTTTACTGAACAGGACAGTCCTCCAGCAGGTGATCAGAAAGAGTCCATTCATGCTCCATGAAAACAAACTGCTGAAAGATGATCAAGTAATCAATATGACTTATAGTTTAACACATGTTGTGGCCTGATTTGTTTATGTTTATGTGAAAACTAAAAGTTGATCATTTTGCATATTTGACCCAGAGTGGTCAGCACAGTGCTTTTACGAGCCAAGAAAGTCCCTAAAGTGCAATAGGATCAATTGTTTAGAAGGTTTTCTCTGCTGAAGGACTCCCTGAACACAATCGTGAATCAGAAGCTGCCCCCTCTCACAGCCATCGGGCTACTACAAGGTCAAAATGGACAAAATATGTATTTATATATTACTTATGGTTATGGTCTGTGATGAGGCCGTATCTCACAGATTAAAGTGGAAACAAAGATTATTAACCAAACTCTTGCACCATTCAATTGCTCTTAAAATAAAAAATCACTTAACTTTGTACCTTTTGTAAGGCAACCTTGAGATCCCAGAAGGCCGTATAAACAAGATGTATATTTAAGATAAGATAAGAATTCCTTTATTCGTCCCACAGTGGGGAAATGTCGATGTTGCATCGCACAGACAGGACAGTAGTAAGAGCGCACAGGGATCACACACAATATATACACTATAAACAAATAAGTATTAGCTATGTTTCTTAGCTAACATAACTAGCTGTAGATGCTGAAAATGCTTCAATACCAGTCAAAATATATATATTTAGTAGTGCAGAGTTATATACTGTACAGTTAAATAGTGCAGGATAAAAAGTATATAAGTAAAGTGACATGAGGTAAAGTGACATTGTTCTGTGACATTCTGAAGTTGCAGTATTGCACATTATTTAAGAATTTACTTATTTACAGATGAATGAAATAATAATTATATAATAATGTATAATGTTGCTTTCTGCTAAAACGGGAGAATTTGTTGAAAATGTGAATAAGAATAGAACCAGTTGGAGCTCTAACATGAGCAGATTACTAAATCATGGTTTCATTGGCGTTGGGTGTTCACGTTGCTCCTGATGTAAAACACACAATGATAATCCTCTTGAAACCAAAAGGACACGACAGGTTCCTCAGATATTCAAACTATGTAGAATAACGGGTTTGAAAAGGACTCCTGAGTGAACCGACGTCAGAGCCTGTGAGCTCCTCCACACCTGAGGCTGGAGGATGTGAAAGAGGCATGTGTCATGTGTGTGTCATGTGTGTGTCATGTGTGTGTCATGTGTGTGTCATGTGTGTGCGCTAACCTCACTGCAGGACGCCACGGCGCGATGCAGCGGGGTCAGCCACATGTTATCTTTGGCATTGACTCTGGCCCCTGTGGAGAACAGGAAACAGAACAGTTACAGTGAAGGTGGATCCTCCAGGGCCGTGTGGCTGCAGACTAGACCAGGGTAAAGCCGAGGGAACATGATTCTTTTCATTACTTTTTTTGTTGTTAAGATCTAGAAAGGTCAGTGAATAAGGGTTTTTTTAAACATTTGACCAAAAAAAGCTCATGTGAAGTAGAAATGACTTGCTGGGCTGTTTGATCAAAAATACTTTCAGTTTCATTCCATGGTATGCAAGGTAAAGAAAAAATATGAATAAATTAGTGATAAATTAGTTGGCAACTATTTGAAGAAATTATTTCTTTGTAACAGTCCTAAACCAGACCTGTTTCAGTCTGGTCCTCAGGTCTGCACTGGACTCCCATGCAGCCACACTGCACTCTCTGGACTGGTTTGAAGCCCACTGATACTGTATATTTATTGTTTTACCGGAGCTAATGAGGATCTCTGTGATTTCTCCATCACCAAGAAAAGCAGCAGCATGGAGCGGTGTGCGTTTCTCTGAGTCCTGTGCAGATCATAACAATTAACCATCAGACATTTTAAATTAAACAGATAAAAAGGTGGAGACCAGAAACTTTACAAGAGATAGGACTACTAAAACAAGACCATGAAAATATCTGAAGGAAAAGTAAGATAAGATAGACTTTATTGATCTCTGATGGAGAAATGTACATGTCACATCTGGCACAGATAGAATCACTCCAACCTAAGTGTGCAAAGACGTTCAGAGGTGTCCAAACCGGTCCAGAACAGGCCGCTGTGGATGCAGGTTTTCTATCAGACCCAGCAGGAGCAGAGCAGACTCTTCCCATTTCCTCAAATCTTCAGGTTATGGCTGAACTCACTGATGAAATGTCTGCGCTGCTCCTGCTGAGTCTGATAGAACAACTGCAGCCACAGCGGCCCTTTCTAGACTGGTTTGGACACCTCTGTTTAAGGTTTAAAAATACAGTCTGTGCAGGATATAATTATGTATGATAAAAAAGTGTAGATAAAGCTCTGTATAGAAAGTGTAGATTCAGTACTATACTACTACTGCTACTTTGGCATCAACAGGTTAATCATTTGAACAATTTCATGTTTTTTGTTGCATTTTATTTAATTTTATAATCTGAATATTGCTATAGACACTTTAATTTTTATTGTACATAAAATATGTTGCACAAAAGAGAATATATTTAACCTTTTAAACATATTTGCACCTTTCCTGTCTTTTAGCACAAAGTGATTCTATCTGCGACAATGTGACATTTCTCAGAGATCAATTAACTCTTTTATCTTCTTATGGTAACATCACATCTATTCCGATACTCAATGAGCATGACCAAAGTTATTTAAGCTAAACCTAATCTAATAATTCTGCTGATTAATTTAATATCTAATGTACAACAATTTTTTTCAGATTGAGGCAGTCTTGCATCTGATTTTTCCAGTACTAAAAATTTCAACAACTATGTGTTTCCCATTTTATTTTGAACAAATCCATCCGTCACTTTGCTTACACTGACTGTGTAAACATCACTTAGGTATTTTTTAACAACTGTCATTACAAAAGGCAAAGAACATGCTAACACATTAGCATCACACGTCCTGGTTCACCTGTGAACCTGTCATGTGTACATGTGTGCATGAGCACAGGTACACACACACAGACACATGTACACATGACAGGTTCACAGGTACACACACACAGACACATGTACACATGACAGGTTCACAGGTACACACACACAGACACATGTACACATGACAGGTTCACAGGTACACAGACAGACACATGACAGGTTCACAGGTACACAGACAGACACATGACAGGTTCACAGGTACACAGACAGACACATGACAGGTTCACAGGTACACACACACAGACACATGTACACTTGACAGGTTCACAGGTACAGTACACAGGTACACACACACAGACACATGACAGGTTCACAGGTACACACACACAGACACATGTACACTTGACAGGTTCACAGGTACAGTACACAGGTACACACACACAGACACATGACAGGTTCATAGGTACACACACACAGACACATGTACACATGACAGGTTCACAGGTACAGTACACAGGTACACACACACAGACAAGTGTGTGTGTACGTTGGCGGGTACATCCCTTTTGGCTAAGAATTTGGCCCTGGCTCTAAACTGTTCTGCTCGGCTCAAATGGCGATGCAGAACTGAGGCCCGGGTGCAGAGCTGCTCTGCCACAACCTCTGAGCCCCCATCTGTTCAGTTACTAGCCTCAGAAGCTAGTCAGATTGAAACTGTGTGTGCATGTATGTGTGTGCCTGTGTGTGCTCAGTTACTAGCCTCAGAACCTAGTCAGATTGAAACTGTGTGTGTTCCTCGCTTGAAGTCTAAAGCACTATATGAGGAAATCTGACCTGGGTGTCAGACACAGTAACTTAATAAAAGTTCAGACAGACAGAAATAGTTCTAACAGTAGGGTTGTTAAATGTGGTTTAATGAACGTCAGATCAATCTAGTCTAAATGGCTTCTCATAAACGAACTTATTATAGACAAGGGCTTGGATTTGTTTGCGCTCTCGGAGACTTGGCTCCAACAGGACGACTACGTTAGATTGAATGAGTGCACTCCTCCGACGCATGTTAACTACCAGAAAGCCAGAACTACAGGTCGCGGCGGTGGTGTTGCGATTATATCACACACCAACTTGGTTCTTAGTCCCAAAACCAACAACGCTTTTCACTCGTTTGAAAACTTAACACTTTCAATCACCTGTCCTGGGTGGAGAAAACAAAAAGCAGTACTATTTATAGTTTTATACCGACCTCCTGGTCCTTACAGCGAGTTCCTAACAGAATTCTCTGACTTCATTTCAAACCTAGTTTTGGAATGGGAAAACATAGTTATAGCTGGAGACTTCAATATACATGTGGACGACAGCACTGACAGCTTAAACAAAGCTTTCAGCGCCGTACTAGATGGTGTTGGTTTTACTCAGAATGTCGAGGAACCTACTCACATTCATAACCACACCTTGGACCTTGTCCTGACCTACGGCTGTGATGTCTCCAATGTTGACATCCAGCGTCAAAGCTCGTTGCTGTCTGACCATTTCTTGATCACGTTTGATCTCGCTTTGGAGGACTTTCCTGTCCCGCAAGATAAAACCATAATGAAAAGAACCTTAAATGATAAATCTATCACAAGGTTCAAAGAACTAATACAGCCTATGTTGAATACTGCTGCAGGTGAACCTGTTCACAGCTGCTGCAGTCCCTCAGTCATTGACCAAACGGTGGGCAACACTATGGAGTCTTTAAAATCTGCATTAAATGCAGCAGCTCCTTTAAAACAGAAAACCATTAGGATTAGATCATCGTCGCCCTGGTACAGTGTTCAACTCCACACTTTAAAACAGGACGTCAGAAAATTGGAGAGGCTATATCGCCACTCCCACTCGGAGCCTGTCCACAGGGAGTGGAAAGCAGGTCTCCGAAACTACAAGAATGCCCTTCGCGGGGCTCGAACTCAATACTATTCAACTTTAATAGAAGCGAATAAAAACAACAGTAGATTTTTGTTTGGCACCGTCGCTAAACTCACAAACTGCCATAGCGCAATCGAGCCTAAAATTCCAAGCTCACTGAGCAGTGTCGACTTTCTCCACTTCTTTAATAATAAAATTACATCCATCCGTGACAAACTGGAGGAGGTTACTCCTGCTGTTGGTGGTGGACAGGTTGAAGCGGCATACGTGACTTCCCACTTAGACTCTTCAGTGGGCCTTGATAAATTCATGGCTGTGAGCCAAGCAGAGGTGATCTCTGTGGTCACATCCTCAAAAGCCTCAACTTGCATGTTAGACGCAGTCCCGACATGGCTCTTCAAAGACATACTTCCTTTGATAATTGAGCCTATCGTAAATATAATAAACGCATCCATACAATGTGGCTATGTCCCACAAGCTTTTAAAACCGCGGTAATCAAACCCCTTCTGAAGAAAACAAACCTGGACCCAGAAATACTTACAAACTACAGACCGATCTCAAACCTCACTTTTATATCTAAAATCCTGGAAAAACTTATAGCTGAGCAGCTCCGCTGCCACCTGCAGGAAAATAATATGTTTGAAGTCTTTCAATCAGGATTCAGAGCTCATCATAGACTGAAACGGCACTAGTCAAAGTCACAAATGACTTACTACTAGCTGCCGATAATGGACAAGTGTCAGTGCTGGTCCTACTGGACCTTAGTGCTGCATTTGACACAATAGACCACAGCTTTCTACTGCAGAGGCTAGAATGTGATTTAGGTCTTAGAGGAACAGCCCTTGGCTGGTTTAAATCCTATTTATCAGATTGATATCACTTCGTCAATGTGAATCAGGACTCGTCGCCTTATTCTGGAGTGGAATTCGGTGTGCCGCAGGGTTCGGTACTCGGACCGATTCTTTTTACTCTCTACATGCTGCCACTGGGAAACATTATTAAAAAGCATGGAATTAATTTCCACTGCTATGCAGATGACACACAGCTTTATCTGTTGATGAAGCCTAACCAGACAGATCAGCTAGAAAAGCTCAGTGCCTGCATAAAGGACCTTAAAATGTGGATGACACTAACCAGATGGTTACTCTCGATAATGTCAGTATAATACCCAGTAACACTGTGAGGAATCTTGGAGTCATTTTTGACCAAGAACTCTCCTTCAAGGCTTATATAAGCCAAGCAACTAAAACGGCGTACTTCCACTTACGGAACATCGCTAAAATTAGGAATTTCTTTCCTAAAAGTGACGCGGAAAAACTCACGCGTTTGTCACCTCAAGGCTCGACTACTGTAACGCTTTACTGGCAGCGTGCCCTAAAGCCTCTTTGAAGAGCTTCCAGCTCGTTCAGAATACAGCAGCTAGGATCTTAACAGGTACCAAAAGGAGGGAGCACATAACTCCGGTGTTAAAATCACTCCACTGGCTCCTGTGGAGTACAGAATAAAGTTTAAAATCCTACTCTTAACATATAAAGCCATAAATGGCTTGGCTCCTTCTTATCTCCAAGACACGTTAGTGTCGTATCAACCAGGTCGAGCGTTGCGCTCACAAAACGCCAGACGTCTGGTGGTCCCTAAGGTCTCAAAGGTCACTGTTGGTGGCAGAGCATTTAGCTCCAAGCTCCTTTACTGTGGAATCAGCTTCATTTATGTTAAGGAAGCAGATACGGTCTCCACATTCAAGGCCAGGCTTAAAGCACTCTACTTTAATTTAGCATATAATTAGGTAATATATAATATGTAGTGTATATATTATATATATATGCTGTATTATGTTATATATTATGTTATATATTATTCAATAATGTATTGTGTTATGTTGTATATTATGTTATATATTATGCTGTATGTTATTCTTTATTCAAGGCTAGGTTTAAAACAGTCCTCTTTAGTTTAGCATATGGCTAGGAAGGTAAGACTCGGAGAAGGTTAAACTCCTCAGAGTGTCAGTCAAGCTGCATAGGGAGTCAGTTTGCTGGGAGAAGTATGGTAACTTGAGCACTATCCTCTCCTCCTTCCTACTTTATCTGTTTAGCATTTTTAGGATTCTGACTGTAGTTTGTTCATTGCTATTCACCCGTTGTCCCATTGTCTGTTTCATGGTACGATGACGGGATCTCTGAGCCTGGCCTCCTTCATCTATACCTGCGGACTGCCCCGCCCGACCCGCCTGGGAGTGCTTCAGTCCTGCACCGGACCTGTCCACGTTCAGCGTCCACTGGTCCACGTTCTGTAGCTAGCTTAGGTCCTAGATCATTAGCCTGTCCGTCCGGAGGAGCGGATCCCTTTCTCATATGGGTCTCCCTCCCTGTGGGTTTCCCTAGTGCTCCCCAAGGTTTCTCACGTTTTCCCACTGGGTTTTTTAAGAGTTGTTCCTTGTGGATGCAGGAGGGTCTTGTTGGACAGTTAGTGTCCAACAGAAAGGATTGGTGATGATCAGGACACTTTAGCATTCTACAACATGTATGGACATTTTCTTCTGTGTGTGCTTTATACTGTATTCTTCATGTGTTTTAACTGTTGATTCTCTGACCTGTGTTGGTGATTTCAATGGTTTTGTTAAGTCTCTGAGATGACTTCTGTTGTGACCTAGGGCTATACAACAATAAATTGTATTGTATTGTATTGTAATTGTAGGTACACACACACAGACACATGTACACATGACAGGTTCACAGGTACACACACACAGACACATGTACACATGACAGGTTCACAGGTACAGTACACAGGTACACACACACGGACACATGACAGGTTCACAGGTACACACACACACAGACACATGTACACATGACAGGTTCACAGGTACAGTACACAGGTACACACATGAGCACATGACAGCCTGAAGCCCCAGTTGGTATAACTTGTTTAAATGCATATGGCCATAATTTGAGGAACAGTTTCTTACTTTCTTCTTAATGTGACACTTATCAGGGAAAGTTCTGTTTGATACTGTTTATTATTAAACAACCACTGAATTCTCTGTTCCTTTGCATCATCAACCTCTTGAAAGCTGGATGTGTGTCTGTGAAGTGTGTGTGTGTGTGTGTGTGTGCGTGTGTGTGTGTGTGTATAATGCGTCTGTACCAGTGCGTTGACGTCCTCAGTCTTGTAAATGAGCATCCGGATCTCCTCAGGGTCCCCGCTGAAGATGCCCTGGATCAGAGGTGGCTGTGGAGACAGATGAGAGAAAACAGAAGTTATTATAAAAGTATCATCTCAAAAACCTCAACCCGTATAGTTGGTCTGTATTCTTGTGCATGTGATTGGTGGAAATGCTCTCAAAAAACACAGAATACATGTCACTTTTTCTAAAGCTCGACATAATTTCCCATCTGGCTCAATGCTTGGTCTCTGTATAAAAATACAACCCTCGATGAGAAGGGGTTTGGGAGACCCCTGGACTAGAAGGATTATGTCCCATTATGTCCCAGTGACCATGGAGCTGTGAAATCCTGCCACTACACAGTCCGCTCTGGTTCATGAAGAAACATCTCCATAGGAATATACAAATGCAAATACCAATTTAAAATAGTTTGAAAGAAACAATGGAGGCTAGCTCTGGGGTAGCTACTATGCCCACATAGCAACGTTTACAACCTAAAAAACAGTTACATACATTTTTTAAATGGGATATTGTTTACCACATGACTGACTTTTTGTTCCTTTTTCAGAGTGCATTCATATTTTTATAATAGCCAGACGAGGAATGAAAGCGTATAAAGACATATAGAAATCATATGACAAGAGGGCCCCGTCATCACAAGCCACAACTCCACACAAAATCAGTTCCAGGAGGAACTTTATCTCTTAGTGCGAGGGAGAAAATGTGTCCTTGTAATAGCCAGACGAGGAATGATTCTTCCCACGCTACACAGCTGTTTGACTTTGTGCTCCAGTGTTTACAAAAGACAGAGCAAGCTACAACAAGAATGTAACCTACTGTAGAACATCTCAAATATTTTAGCAGTAGCAAGGATTTCTGAAGTTATGTCCAAAGTTCAAATACATGTTGGTAGATTAGGATCTTCAAAGTAAAGGCCAGGGAATGTTACAAGAAGGACACAGTGGAGAATGAAGACCAGGCCCTTATTATGAAGGCAGATTCAGATATGATGTAAATACAGGCGGTATATTCAGGGACATAAACACAGAGATGTTTTGTCTTAGAGGAGAACGTCAGACAGACGAAGGTGCAGCAGTTGATAGTGTTTGTGGAGGATTTGTGATGTAGTTGTTTAGTTAGTTCAAGACAGACTTTGGTAATCACTCACTATACATTTTTAGTATCCCTTTTTCTATTTTCGCCTTTTTTGCAGCAAGAACCAAAGCAATTTTTGTCAGTGAATTCCTGTTTCTTACATGATTCTGATTCTAAATTTGGCTTTTCAAACGACAGAAGTTGGTATGGTTTGACGTTTTACTCACAATAATATTCTGCTGTTTTGTTGTGTTTTTTAAAAGTCTCTCATCAATCATTTTGTTCATAGAAAGTGAAATCATCATCTCCTTTGCTCTGAACTCTGTCTACAGTCACTTGGACACTAGTAAATCTGTTGCGAGAATGCTTTTCATTGATTATAGCTCTGCTTTTAACTGCCTTGTCCCAGGTAAACTGATTGAAAAGCTCATGTCTCTCAGTTTAAGTGTTGCCATGTGTAAATGGATTTTTAGCTTTTTAACTGACAGATCTCAGAGAGTGAAAATCAATGAGTGTTTTTCTGATGTTGTTTCTGTGAGCACTGGTTCTCCTCAGGGATGTATTTTGAGTCCTCTGCTCTTTACTTTGTACACTCACGATTGTGTGTCCTCCTCTGACTCAAACTTGATCATCAAATATGCTGATGACACCACCATCATCGGTCTCATCAGTGACACTGATGAATCCTCTTATAGAGCAGAGATACAAAATGTGGTTCAGTGGAGTCAAACTAACAACCTCCAGTTGAACGCATCCAAAACATGTGAACTGGTCTACGACTTCAGTCGCAATAGTTCTCATTTGTGGCAAGAGCTCTGGTGTGTGTCGTCTTCTCTGTCTGGTGCACACCGGGGTAGTCTTGCACAGTTTTTCCAATGTGGTTTTACTGCAAATGGCAAATAAATGAATCTGAATCTGAATTTGCAACAACTCCCAGGTGCAGATCGTAGAGGAGTGCAAGTTTCTGGGTTTAACTCTGTCTAACCTGAAATGGGTTAAAAACACTGACCGAGTCGTTAAGAAAGCTCGTCAGCGTCTCTACTTTCTGCGTAAACTTAGAGAATTTACCACTAACTCTAAGATTTTGCTTAACTTTTATGGCTGCACCATTGAGAGTTTACTTGTTGGTTCTGTGTCTGTGTGGTTTGGAAACATCACAGATAAAGAAAAGAGAGCTTTAAACAAGGTGCTCCGCTCTGCAAAGAGGACCGTGGGCTGTGAGCTTCCTGTTCTGGAGGTTCTTTATAAATCCACACTTTTAAACAGAGCTTTGAGAATTATCAATGACTCTTCTGGCCACCCAGGGAAAGCCATGTTCCAGCTTCTTCCCTCTGGCAGAAGATATCGTTCTGTGAGATGCAGGACATCTCGTTACGCTAACAGTTTTATTCCACAAGCTGTTATCAGCTTGAACAGAGCACTTTAATGATCTTGCACTTGTTTTGAACTGTTTTAGTCAGTCAATTTCACAGTGACATTTGTTTACTGTTGTATTGGTTTTATTTCTGTCTTTTAATGTTGTTTTATGTCTGTACTTGTCGTGTGCACACTGGAGACTTTTGCAAATGTATTCCAATGTGGTTTTACTGCAAATGGCAAATAAATGAATCTGAAACATTTAACAACTTAATATTTCACCGGCTTGAATACTGTCAATCGTCAATATGTATGTTTTTCTTTTGTCCTGTACCAACTAAGACTAATGTCCCACGAACCACACCCTTAAATTTATATATCTTTCCAAAAACATGCTACTGTGTAATTAGACAGAAAACTGGCCCCAAATGGTTTGGTTCTATCCCAACAGTAGTTTTCACATGTATAGGTTTGGTATGTGAGAGAAAAGTGAAAGATTAAGAACTGCCCTCAGCCAATCAGCTCTCATCCTAAATATTTAAATAGTGACTCACTCTTTCTTACAGGCGTATAAAAGATAAAACATTTTATAATGAAGAGCGTGTTGTTATCCAAGTTCTTCACCTCATTTCAGACTGTTGGGACCAAAACAAAACATTTATGGACAAAGTTAAGAAGCCCAGCTTTAAGATATCAAAAGTCAAGAATAAAACACTGCAGCGTCATAGGTTTCAATCGTTATTCTCACATAACGTTCTTTCACTAACAACAAAAGCCAATCTCTTCATTTGTACTTGATGGTTAAAAGGCGAGCGTGTCTGAGCAGATGGCAGGAATGTCAGGTTCTGAGTGCGATTATAGCTGAACTCATATGACTTCCTGTGTCTCTGTGCTGCACTTCCTGTTGCCCAGAGCTCTTTTCTCAGTAACAGACTGAGGAACTTAACGTTTCACTTCTGCTTCTGCTCAGGCTCAAGAGACCACTTCCTCCAGAGGCCGAGCTTCAAACATACTGTATAAGGCCTTGAGTAAATGTTGTGACAGAGTTTTGCATTTCTTCATGGATCATATCTAAAGTTGTCAAAAGTATTAAAAATTAGATACCAAATTTGATACTAAAACTAGTATTGAAACTAAATATTTGTGAATTAATTTTCTTAAATACATGAAATAATCAGGTAAACTGTCGTAGAGGATTAACACAATGTTATTATTAAAATCATAAGGAAGGATGTAAAATTCACTGCCACATCGTTAACTATCATTTTAGGGCTGAAACAAATTAACACAACAATACCTGTGGGGGCGGGGCCGGTGTAGCAGGTCAGTTTAACCCCCCGCCAGAATATACCCGAGTATAAAGTAGCCTAGGCCAGATTATACCCCGGGGTTAAAATAGCCTAGGCCAGATTATACCCCGGGGTTAAAATAGCCTAGGCTAGTTTAACCCCCCATAGGCCAGATTAATCCCCCCTTTCATTTGATATAATAACAATAAAATACAAGCAATATTTTCTTTATTTCTTACTAAATACATTTTAGGAAAAGATATGATTTATGAAATAAACTATTTTATATAAAACTATAACAAACTCCTAATACTCCCGTCCTGTACTTTACAGAACCATACAGCAATGTGCCCATTTTTTAAGGAATCCTTATATTGAAAACAAGTATATTTAAATGTAAAAAAAATACAGAAAAAAAGACTGCACTCTATGCATACATCACAGGTTTTTTATTCAAAAACAACATTTGACGCATCAGCAGTCACACCAAGGAAGCCAGATGTAACTCTTCCTTGATCCAATGAGAAATCAGGAAACACATTAAGCCAAAGAAACTCTTCGACACGGACACCGTTGATATGTGCAGTGAAGCAGTGAAGCAGTGAAGCAGTGAAACAGTTAAGATTAAGATTAAGATTAAGAGATCCTTTATTTGTCCCACAGTGGGGAAATTTCGGTGTTGCATCACAGGTTATAGGACAGTAGGAAAGAGGAGCACACAGCACACGTTAAGTGAAAAATAGCTATACTAAACAAAATAAAAATAATCTAACTCTAGCATCAATAATAAGTATAAAATCTCTATCTTGAAAATATAATAGATGTAAAAATTTAAAATTGACAAAATAAGAGGCAATTATAAAGTACTGTGTAATCTAGTGCAAGTAAAGTGTAGTTATATGTTAGCATCTGTACATTAGCAGCAGTATGTTTTCATCTGTACATTAGCAGCAGTATGTTTACAACTGTATATTGGCAGCTGTGTATTGCACATTCTGGTATAAGGTAAGGATATTGCAACGATGCGAGAATGACACTGGAATCAAGTTGGCAGTCTTCATTAGTCCTTATTGTTTGTTGTACAGTCTGACAGCAGCAGGAAGGAAAGACCTGCGGAACCTCTCCTTCACACATCAAGGGTGAATAAGTCTGTCACTGAAGCTGCTCTCCAGAGCAGAGAGAGTGTCCTGCAGGGGATGACAGTCATGGTCCAGCATAGATGTTAGTTTGCTCAGGACCCTCCTGTCCTTCCACCTGCTGCACTGTGTCCAGGGAACAGCCCAGGACTGAGCTGGACTTCCTGATGTTCCAGCTTCTTCCTGTCC